TCCATACGGCTTATTCCTATCTGACTTCAACGACAAGAGGAAGAGAGACAGAGAGGATTCGTAAGGCAGACCAACAAAAACACTAAAAAAAAGGAAAAGGGAAAACGAAAACCCTAAAACAGGATAGACTAAGCCCGCTTCCGATTTCCAAATTTTCAAGCATTGTATTCCTAGATCCCAATTCTTGATTCAGCAAAAGGTGAGCTTCAATTCCTTTTCAAAACGTAAACTTTCATTTTTGTTTAGTTTTTCATGCTTCTTTCGAATCCAGAAACGAATCTCTTCCTGCTTTTGAGTAATCCGTTTCGAGTGAGCTCGAATTCATCTGTGTTTCTCACATTGTTGAATCTTGGGTAGCTGAATATCCAATATTGATTTGTGGGGTTATTTTTTCCGCTATTTTTTGAGCTGTGGCTTCGTTGAGCCTTGCCACGAAATTTTGTTACTTTTCAGGTTATAGTTTCATTTAATAAGCTCTTTTTTGATGACTAGAATAGAAGATAAATTTAGTTTTGGGTTTTGACTAAATTCTTCTCTTTTTTTTTTTTCGTTTACTGGGATGTTTATACTGACAAGACCTTATTTTGGCCGGAGACTTGGTTAATCTTAGTCTCTAGATTTTGAGAGGTATTTATTTCCATAATTAAGTTTTATACAGAAAAAAGAAGAGTGTAATTTAGTCGAAAAATCATGTCTTTTACACACCCCTGATCTGTTTCATGCTGATTTGTAAGCTACATATTTCATATTTTTAATTTGGTTGCCACTGAATTGCATGAAATTAGCATTCTTGCTTCTCCAGTTTCCAGGAACTACCTAGTTAAGCTATAGCAACACTTCCAGTCAGAGGTGTTGGGATGCTAATAGTTTGTCCATCTACAAATTAAAGAATCTGACTGGAAAAGGAGACGTTTTTTTCTGACTCAAAAAGTTTTCATGTATTTTTTCTGTCATTGTTACTTGGTGTTCCTTTTTTTTGGGAAAAGATTGCTTGCTTGCTATTCTTACATGGGGGGTTTAAGAAGTGCACCCAAAAGTAGTGCAAACAATACTATAATAAACAACATTTCAGCTTTCAAGTTGCCTTCTTTTCTGGTTTTCATGGGTACTGCTACTTCTTAGCAGAAAGTTTACTTGCTGTGATATAATTGCTGGTGTTTCTGGCACGTGAATGGTATTTCTTTTTGCTGGTTTCAAATTTTCTCTGGATGGTTTTTGCTTCTCCTTTTGTTCTTATGCTTTCTGTCTCTAGTGTTAGTAATGTCAATCCTCTACTATGCATTCTGCAGGGACTGCCTTGATTGGCTATGGCAAATTCCAAGGGATCAACAAATGTAAGAAATCTGATGTATTCTGGAAAGCATGCTTTACTACCTCCAAAAAGTCCATATCCTAGTGTTTCTTCAGCATATACGGATTATGTGCCCAGCAATGTTGTTGGATCAAAAGTGGTTCAAAAGCCCAGGGATGGAAATGCACATCACCAACGTACTTCCTCTGAGAGCTTCCTGATAGAAGAGCAACCTTCTTGGCTTGATGATCTCCTTAATGAACCAGAGACTCCTGTGCGCAAAGGAGGTCATCGGCGTTCATCAAGTGACTCTTTTGCATACCTAGATGTAGCTAATGCTTCTATGACAGATTATGCAGCTCAGGATGAGTTCAGGTACAAAAATATGGTTAGTGCACCTTCTTGGGGGTCTCAAGACTTTGATTATTACAATCATCAAGATGCTCGACTTGCTTCTTTGTACAATGATTCAAACTTGATGAAGCAGAACAGAGCATGGGATTCTCATTCACTATTGAATGCTAGAATCCATCCGGGTGGACTTCCTTCTGCTAGGGAGAATACCCATTCAAGTGGGATTCCTTCTGCTGGAGAGAATACTGTTCACCATGGTTCAAGTTCTGCCTGTTTACCACGGGAAGGAGAAGTTCCATCAACAGCTAGAGAAAAACGGGATTCATCTGAATCCATTTCTCAGGATGCAAAAGCTTCTGAGAAAAAAGATACATCTCATGCCAAGCCTTCTGCATCAGAGACTGATACAAAACGAGCAAAACAGTAAGTAGCCTGTTTTGCTTGTCCGTTGTAAAATGCAGAATTAGTAATTAGGGCAATGTGCTAGATTGATATAAAATGTTTAATAAAATAACTTTATTGCCTTCTCCTGCAGGCAATTTGCTCAACGTTCAAGGGTGCGTAAACTTCAGTACATAGCTGAGCTGGAAAGCAATGTGCAAGCTTTACAGGCAAGTTTTACTAGAAACTAAACCACTGCATGCTTTTGAATTTTATTTCTAGTTAAGAGACTGGCCTCGATGTGTTTTCTTTTTGTTGTTTTTTCCCTTGAGTTTGTATTAACACTTTAAATCTCAACAGGCAGAAGGATCTGAGGTTACTGGTGAGCTTGAATTTCTTAACCAGCAGAATCTTATTCTTAGCATGGAGAACAAAGCTCTCAAGCAACGTTTAGAGAGTTTGGCTCAGGAGCAGGCTATTAAATACTGTAAGTGTCCAGATGTGGCATCTTAAGTCCATTCTAATATATTCTCTTTTGTGTCATCCATTGCATACATATTGAAAGGGTAGTTCCTTCCATCCATTTGAAGCCTTTTTGTATGCGCAATATCGTTTTTGATTGTTTTAGTTAAATTTTAAATATTCCATGGTACTGATGTCAATATCCAGTTGTTATAACCTGAAATATTTTATTAAATAGAAAATAAAATTGCATGGAAACTAAAATATGTGAATGTTGTGCTCAGTGGAACATGAAGTATTAGAGAGGGAGATTGGAAGGTTACGAGCCTTGTTCCAACAACAGCAGCAGCAGCCGCAGCAAAATCAACAGCAGCAACAACAACGTCAGCAACAACAACAGCCATCAACTAGCCATCGGCGCACTAGTAGCAGAGATCTAGATTCCCAGTTTGCAAATCTGTCTCTGAAACACAAGGATGCCAGCTCCAGTTGTGACCCTGTAACTGGTCCACTCCAAATTTAGATAGTTAACTAGCTGGAACTATGTCATACTACTACTCAGCTTCAACAATTGCTGCCATGCTGACAAAAATAGTTGTTCCCTGTGGCATAAGACCAAGCTCATTGAATCTTGGTGCCCTTCCTCTGTCTAATCTACTCATCTTATATCTGCTGTTCCTTCTTTTATTTCAACAAATTAATATCTTCACTGGCACCTGGTAGTTGTTGCCAGAATATTGTCATTTCAGGCATGACTCACCCGAGGTGGTAAACTCTAGAACAGGTTCCATGTTTGAGTTGATTCTGTATTTTTCACTGGTTTTGATTCGGATTTCTAGGTTCCATTATTCTCAATTTTCAGTACCCACCCTGGTGGATCCAACTTAGTGCAGAGATCCTTAGGCTATTTCAATGTGCATCATATCTTTTGCAACATTAGGGTGGGAAAATGTTTCATGTATAATGTTCTTAATAAAACCCATATTTCCTTTGTGTTCTATTTGGGTTTGTGTCTTGAAATTTCGCTTGTTTTGTCCCTATCAGATTGCTTTATGGGAAAAGATAATTCTTGCTGCTTGCAGGGAGCAAGATGCAATGCATACTGTATTGTACAAAATTTGGTGCTTAAAGGTTAGAAATTTGGATTCAAGTTTATTATGATTCCATCTCAGATCATATGGTTACCAATGGAATATATATATCTAGATATATTAAGAATCTAAAAACAATTCCAAGTGACTGGAGATGGGCTCGATACAAGTTTGTAGGGTGAACTCTCAAACCTGATCATTGCTTCAGAACATAACTAATAGCAACAAAAATGAGAAAAAGATGGCAGAACGGCTGGATTTAGCAGTGTTTCCCATATTGGGCAGCTTCGGGTACTGATCGGGAGGGGGCATGACACAGTCATCGCCATTGAAAGATATTCTTCTGGGGAAAGCCCATCCTTCCCTGAACGTGAATAATCCTGGATCTTTGCGTAGTAACATTTCGGATTGTACATTCCCCATCTCACCTTCTTGCAGCAGCACGTCATTGTAGAAGCGAGTCCCCCAAAACATTCCCGTATCATCTGTATAGTTATTAAAGGACAGGCTAAGGCTTTAAAAAATGTCAAGTCCTATCTCCAATCTCCATAAACCAATCAACATTGGAAGACAAACAAAGCATATGATCATAAATTTAAGGGGTTTGATTGAACTTACTGACGCTGCCATACTGGTTAAGTGGTTTGAAGTTGAAGCTGAAGACTTGAACAAGACTTTGCAAATTGGGATGCATAACCACCAAAGTCCAGTCAGAATAATTCTTGACAATATTCAGATTCGTCATTGTCATCTTCACCCTCCAGTATTCTTTGTAACTTTGTTTTACATGCCAATGTACGTTTACAGGGCACATGTGCCTGGTACACCTTACCAGTGGGGTTGGAGCTTCAGTCGGATCCTGATTTTGTTGCAAGAGAGACGGTACATCACCAAACCTGAGATAAATTAATGGGACACCATATCTATTCATTCAACTAGTTTTAAAAAAAAGGGAATTAAGAGATATGAAAGAATGAATTAAAGGTTTTTACTTTACACATTGTGTTCCAGGTAATCCTTGGCATCCACAGCTGCATTGAGGGCAAGGAACAATTGTTTTGCTGTAGAATGAAGATAGGGAAACACAGCATTTTGGCGAGGGTGATGCTAGAGTCAGGGAGTAGATACATATCACATCCCATGTCCCTGCAACATTTTGACAAATGTAAAAATAGAAGATCAAAATGCATTTTCTTTACAAAGATGTCGCCATCTTCCAATGGACAATCCAACAATTTCTGCATGAAACTTTGAAGTTGAAAGTTTCAGGTTCAAATCTTGGGATGGACAAGAAGGGGTTATATATCTTGTCAATATGGACTAAAAAAATGCTGAAGAACTTACCAAGAGCTTGTGTCCATCTTCGGCCACCATCTGTAGTAAACTTGGTTGCAGGAACCTCTGTAGCATTTGAACAACTATACCCTGCAATTCCAACAGAGAAATTAAACGGCATTGTGAAGTTACTGGAGTCAGTGGCGACTCCAACATTCATTTGAAAACTGGCTGTGTACTTAGAAGGGTCTTGTGTCATGGATGTAAGGACGCCTCCTCTGCAACAATTGGCAGTCTGCCGGTTATATGGTGTTCCTGGCAAAAGGTCCACAATCAGTGGTGCCTTCTCACAACTATGGGGAAGTTGCTGTCCCTTGAACCTGGAGCAGTTTCCTTGTTGTGTTGCCTGAGCTCCAGTCATGCTCCAAATCACCTCGTCACCTTCCCAAAACCATCCTAATTTCCACCCCGGTGGCTCTATGTGGCGGTAGAGTTGGTAGTTGGAGATAGATATCTTCAGCTGCAAGTTAGGGAAATGAATAAACATATTGAAACTTTAATCAAAATGTGAGATGTAACACAATTAGGACACAATGTTTTATAATAAATATTATTTTATTTATCACTATAATTTAAATTTAATTATTAAATTAAAATTATATTCATAATATTTATAATTTAAAATACTTCCTTTATTATTTATCTCAAAATTTAAACACAAAACTTTCAATTAAGAATTTTAAGTACTCAAAATCTTGAATTCTTTTTATCAAGTTTTAAGCTAAAAGCCTATATCCAATTGCAGCATGGCACGTAACGATGACATGGTTCCACACTGAAAAAGACAGTATTCAACTGATGATGTAGCAGGCAACATTTGGACAAGGAGACTAATACTTTCAGTGGACCCCTGATGCCCCAAACACAACCGGAGACAAAGTGACAAACAAACGAGGGTATGACCAAACCTACGCAAACAGACACTTTACAAACGTTTGGAACTCGAAAGGCAAAACATCCACTGCTCTTATACACTGTTCATGTTTCAAAATTAAAATTACTTCAAAATTTTTAAATAATATCCTTTTTTTTATACCTAAATTAATCAATTTTCTTCTGTAAAAAAAAAAAATAGCAAATAAAATTTTAATAAAATCAATATCTTACATCAGTTGTTCCTGTATTGGATTGTAAAAGATCCCATTTGATGGTTATGTTGCCTTGGGGATCCATTGGATCAAACCCATCTGCATTTCAATCAGAAAGAAGGAAAGCTAGCAGCTTTGCACTGAATTATGAAGTAATTCGAAAAAACGGTTCGAATAAAATTTAATAAAATAAGGGTAAAGAAAAAGGGGGAAAATGGGTACTTACATGAAGGGGGAACCAAGCATAATAAAGTGAATGAGATGAAAATCAAGACCATACCCATTGATATTTGATCAATAAAGAACAAAGGGTTGATCTCAAAGAGTCAAAAGGATTCAACTTTTCATTAATATAAGAATCAAGAAATGGAGAAAAAGATTCGGATGAAAATGAATTGAGGGGTTTTGGTTTTTGTGTGCTGCTTTACTGCTTAAGAACAAATGGAGATGAGAGAAGGAAGAGGAAATGGGGGCATTAATTGAGACAACAAGCGTGTAGGGTGGCATTCTCTGTTTTCTGTCCCTATCAAATAAATAGGGGTTTTCGGGACTAAAAAAAAAATAAAAAAGAGGAGATGTGTCCTGTCTTTCACTGTGGAAAATGAAGTTATTACGAGGGAATTAATTGTAATTGAAAGAATGAGAAGGGATTTTCCTGATTTTTGCCATATTTGGGTGCAGAGAAAGCGTGCCCTAGCTGACTCTTTTTTTTTTTGAAAGTGTCCCAGCAGACTCTGAGTTGTTGAATGTTACACACGTTTTGTACACCGCAGCAGCTAGTATTTGCTTGCCGTTTCGTTTTGGCACCAATTTTTGAATTTCTTGTTTATGAGTATTATAATTTTTTTTTTTTGTGAAAATAGGCAAAGGACTAATATTATAAAAATAAAATTAAAGGGTTTGTAATGTGTGCCCTAAATATATATTTTTATCATAAATTTATATTAAAAAATAAAAATTAATATTTAATTAAATTCATTTATTTGGTATTAACACTAAAATTAATCTCAATTTTTACATTAATTTATATATATATATCTATAAAAAAAATTTAAGACACAAATTAAAAAATTCAATATTAAAAAATAAAACTTTTCTACGTTATATGGAATGAAAAATAAAAATAAAAATAAAAATTTATTATATAGTTTAGTATTGAAATTAAATTCTCTTTTTTTTTCTAAATATATTAAAGAATTAATTACTTGGCATGACAGTAAATAATTTGAATCTTAACTTTAATCTCAAATCAAGATTTTTATTATTAATAATACTTTATCAGATAAACTCTTATTCATGTATAAAACTTAAATTTTTAAATGAAAGTAATTTTTTAATATTGAGAGCACTCTCCTATATAATGGATCTTATTTTACAATCTCAACAACAAAATATGAGAGACTTTATTAGAAAAAGGTTTTTTTTTTTTCTAAGAACCGCAGCCTCTTTTCCTAAAGCTTTTATAGACAATTACAATATAATTCTCTTTTTCTTGGTTGAAGGAGGAATGGGTAGAAAGAGTATAGTTGTAACAGAAAATAAATAGGAAAGCTTAATAACATGATTTAACAATTCTTTGCTTGGTAAAAATCATAGGATTGTTAAAATCTTTAATTTGCAAGGAGTCAACTCTTCTCTAAAGACTGGTTTTAGAGAACCCTGGTCAGAGATGAGAAAGCAAACAAGTTTTCCAATAGGTTGTGATTTGAAGTGTTAAAATTAAAAAATATATATATCCAAAAAATAAATAAGTAATTCAGGAATTTACCGAGTTTGAATTGGAGTTGTTGCCTTACCGTGGGGGTTACGGTTATTCTCACACTGAGAATGATTAAGGCCACACTAACAATATCTTTTATATAATTAAATTACCATTTTGCCTTTTCCCTCCCATCTGTGAATAAAATGGTAATTTAAGTATGGCCCTAACAATCCTCCGTGGGGCAATAACCGGAGCCCTTACCGGCCGAGGAAATTGTAAGGAATGACAGTTCATGGCTCACTCAGAATCATTTAACCTTTTACCTAGTTAATGGAGATTCTTAGAACATAAAATACCTGTGTTGCCAAATGGAAAGAAAAGCAAAAACAGAGAACTTTGCTAGTGCTAGGAAACTTGTTCAAAAGGAAAATTCATTTTTAGAAATAACATCTTCAATCCACCACAAATCTACTATGAAACAGCTCATATCCAGCTTTTCATGATAAAATATTTATACATAAATGTAATACTGCATCAGTTTACAATGCCAAAGGAAAAATCGAAATCAAGGGTTCGAGCCATGGCCAGGATGACAGATAACTGTTTTACAATGTGATATTTGTGCCCCCTGAAAAATGAAACTTGTAAGGAACAGATGAATGTATTATGATCCTCATCAGAAAAAAGATGTCTTATACATGGTGAATGTTGTTTCATGATAATAACTTCAAAAGCCAGCCATCTGGCCCACAACTCACACAGCACATGAAAACACAAGGAAGTGCAAAAAACACATACCTCCAAAAGGATGATAATGGCCACTGTAACTCATGCATGGCGGCGTCTTTTGGTGTTGTCCTCAGTGAATGACTGCCAGTTATTGTGGTCAAGGGTGCTCAAATCATCAAGTTCAGCAATGGCTAATAAGTATTGAGTGAGCTTTACAAGCTCTTGGTCAGTGTCTCTGTTAGCATGAGCCTTCCGGAAAGGTTTGATAACCAAACCATTCTGTGGGTTCATCACAAAATTTCTTCTCAAATCATCAAACATTATGGTGTTCCTTGAGTTGTAGAACTGCAAATGTGACAAGAAAATCACATCAGTCCAGAGCACAACTCATTCACATCTAAGAACATTTCAGGTGTTTAACTATAAAGTTCAAAAAAATGTGTTCCCATCTCAATATCATATGTTACCTAGTTCTTGGAAAGACAATGAAAGAAGAGATTACAGGGGAATTTTATCTCTTGGTGGGAAGGAAAATTTTTTCATAACTTTTTTCCTGGCTTTATTATTTCACAAAGCAATGTAAGAGAAAACAACATGTATTAATTACTACAACATCCAAACTTTCCTCAAGGCCAGTAAAACAAGCCATAAGTGATACAAATATACCTCAGGAAAGTGAGCCCAAATTAAACCAAGTGGTTTGCAATCAAAGATCCCACGAGAATCTGACTGAACTGTGATCATTGCTAAATGGTCCAGAAGTGCTGTGATTTTGTAGTTGGGGTTGTTAAGTACTCCAAGCTGTCCCATCTTCAACTCAACCCATTTCATGCTGTAGAAACAGAAACTGATTTCTTCAGAAACGAGCACCCAATTCCTCAAGGTGTGGCCTTATAAACATACAATGATATGTATGTACATAAAGAAGGAGAAGCATCAAAGCAGATATTTACACAAAATTGCACTAGGATAATGAGAGAACCCCATTATAGTACGTATAACATTGAATAGCTTTTAAGCAGGGGAGAAATCCCACAATCATAACAATTGGAGAAAACTGCTAAACAGGTTTCTTTAATCAAGGTAACACATAAATTCTAGTTAGAAATTGAGGAAAATGAAAAACATCAGAAAAAATCTGACCTTGTTGCTGACCATATCATGATATCATACTCTACATAAGCAGCTGTAAGAAACTCGTGCAGATCTGAGAAAATAACTTTAGATATAACAGCTAGCAAAACAAACTGGAAGAAGAAAAGGTGAATATAAAGCAACAAATGAACAACTCACAAGGTCGCATGAGTTGAAGAGGATTCTCGGCTGGGGACCGGTGATCAAATAAAGTATAGTCAATATCTAAAACAAGCAGCTTCTTTCCCGGGCGGCATGGACTTCTAAGTTCAATCTGCAATTTTATAAATGAAAAAAGAAAGATATCACCAACTTGAATAGATAAGTTTTTCCGCTCAACAAAGTCATTTCACTTGCTACTTCCATCAAATTCCGCACCCCCACTCCCAGCCCAAGTGCACACTGCTGGAATTGAATCACCTCTATCTATTTTTCTCTCCATAAAAACTCTGCAGCTTCTACTTAAGTATGTTCACCACAAGCTTAATTATGCCTTTAAATTTAATGAGCTACCAACCCCCCAAAAATTTACATGAGAAATAGATACATAACAAAAAGAGATTCTGACCTTGTATTGATCTATGCGTCTCTTTAATTTTTGCTTATTGACCTCTTTATCTTTAATATCAACAGCTTCATCTTGTCCAATTTCAAAGTCATCAACAATCTCAGGAGAATCCACCGGATCCACAATTATATCCTCCTCAACGGTACTAAATGTGAGATAAATTTTAAAATCAATTCTAAAATATGTTAGAAAAAAGGATAACACATGTTATCGAGCAAACTACAAATAGAGATTCAAGAATGACAACTGATGCTAGTTTATTAATTTTATGATGAAATGGTCTCAAATTGTCTTTTTTCTTTGGCAATTTTGCACCATTAACCATCTCAAGAGAAATGTACGAGATTTTGGCTAGGAAAAAACCTAGTCCTTGTTCCATGTTAGTCTCTAGTCAGTGCAAATATGATTGAAATTTTAAAAGACCTAATCTATAGATTCTTTAAAAGTCCAAAAGAGAAAAGAGAGAAAAAAAAAAAAAAAAAAGACCAAAGTTGATTCTACATACATGTCTCATTGATGATAACAGATAAAGTGGATGTAGGTAATATTCTCAAATATGATGTAAGTGGACTTCATGCTAATGGTTTGAGCACGTTGCTGTTGCAGAGATGATGGTTATGAAGGCCATTAAAATAATCAAGTAGCCAAAAAAAAAATTGTGGGTGTGAAGCTCAGGTCCAGTTAGGACTGCAACGAGGCCTGCACAGGTGGGGGTGGGTGAAGTTCATGTGACAAGTCCCAAAGGAACCAGGCATGCACATGACAAGGTGTGTTAAGTACGAAAATCCCACACCAGAAGAAAGAAGAAACCATTCTCCACATATATTTCTGCCATTCTTTCTAACAATGGGCAACATTAGCCATCTATAATTAGCAAGGTAATTGAGACTTAATTTTAAGTGCGTTGGTTATGGCATGCCAGTAAAAACATAACCTTTGCAATAAAATGCACCGTAATAAAACTGATCTTAAGCGCTGTAGCAGCAACAACAAACAATTAAGAAATATAAAAAAAGAAAAGACATTCCATCATGTTTGGGAAGTTCCAGAATTGCAGGAAATTCATTACCTTGGAGTTGACCCATATCCCATATAAAAAAAATTTGTCTCCGTGATTAGTGAGAAAGAAATTAAGGCTTTTGGAGAGTCATAATCAGTTAAGAGAATAATCAGACATAGCATATAGCAGGAAAACATATAATTTTAGGCCAGAAATGGGAACTGCACTCATCAAAAACACACGCAAAAAATATAAAATATAAAAATTGCAGTCGAGATTTTACGGAGATAATTGCAATCATTTCAAAATTTTTAACTGTCTATGAGAGACCCAACAATCTAACTAAATCAAAAGCAACATAAACACAAACAATCCAAAGAATCCCGTCAATATGAATATAATTACTAAATGCACCACCATATGAAATCGAGAGGGAGTGGTGAGGAAGAGAAGTACCCAATCATGGTCATCTTGAGAGAGGGCTTGAGAGGGATAGAAGAGAGCAAGACGGAGTCATCAGAGAGCTTGTTTCCGATTTTGGGGTAGAGAAGCTTCTGTCGCTTAGGCAGAACGTTAGTGAGTTCGCAGATTCTGCGCTTCAACTCGGCCACCGAGTCGTCGCCGCAGACTCGCACGGTGTACTCTTTGCCGCTCCACTTTACCGTCAGCGTCAGCTCCTCCTCCGTCGCCGACGAAGATGCAGCGGTGGTAGCAACAGCCATTGTATTTCCCACGTATTGACTCTTCCGCAATTTTCGCACCCTTTTTCCCCAAGAAAAGATGATTCGGAAGACGACAGGTCGGGGTGCGCATTATCAAAACAATTCAATTTATAAATTTACTAAAAATATCCTTATTGTAATTATTTTTTATATTATTTTATTCTATTAATAACAATTTAATAATTTGATTACTCGAATTGTATTTTTAATATACAATTCAATTTGTAAAATATGAATTTTAAAATATTATTTTCTCTCCTTTTTTTAATTTATTATTTTAAGAGTTCTATAGTATAAGTCACAATTTAATAATTTTATTACTCGAATTGTATTTTTTATATACAATTCAATTTGTAAAATATGAATTTTAAAATATTATTTTTTTAATTTATTATTTTAAGAGTTTTATAGTATGAGTCACATTATTTAAATATAAAAATATAAATTTTATATTATTTAATAAAAATAAAAATTTATTTACACATAAATTTTATAAATTACAGTTACATAAAATCTCAATTATTTATATCTCAACTTTTAATAATTGATATTTATTAAAAATAATTATTTTATTTATCTAAAAAATTATAATAAATTT